TGTCAGCGGGCGACCCAGTTTGAATACAATCACACGCTGTCCTCGCACGAACTGTTGCAGAGATAATACTTCACGTGTGCTATGGAGAATAATACACGAGGCTGACCGAGGAGGAGGAGGAGGAGGATGGGGGGTTGGTTACAGTATGTGTGCCATGTGTTTAATGGCAAAATAAATTAGATCTGTCCTCAATGGTTATTTATCAAAGAATACAAAGCAGCTACAGAGTGTTTATTATGACAGAAGCACAATAATATGGCAACTTCCTACAGGCAAAACGGTTTAATTGTGAATATAATTGACAAAGCAAAGAAAGTTCTTCTTTGATGCAGCTGAGATGGACACAAACTGAAACTATACTGTTTGTTTAGATCTGTTCACACTGAGCACTAGAGCTGCCATCTCTCCCATTTAATGTGTACATACGTGAAAACAGCAGAAATAATAACTGAAACATTATCTTTAAGTGCTATGAATCCATATGTGTGTCCAGTTTTATTATCATACAACATTTATCCACCAATTCACTGTTTAGTTTCAATATAATTTAGCATTTATAAGCAGTGCTGGTGTTTAAACATGTAATACATCTGCACCCAAAAGATTATATTCAGTATGATGTAAGAAAAGCTATAACATTCAATCTGTTTGGTCTAGTAAGTCTTGTAATTTGGTACGGAAATACTTTAGGCGAGTGTATTACGGCACAACTTTGTATTTTCAGATAACATTAAGAAATCACACTTTTATCAAAGGTGAAAGTCAGGATTTTTCAAAAATTAGGAAAAATGCTAAAATTGTGTTTATTAAATGTTTTCCACATGAAATGTTTTTACAGTCGATTATGGGTGCATGTCTTTGACATTCAACTTCAAATACTTGATTGTGCTCCTTGTGAGGGGTACTTCTTTATATTTGAGAGTTAGAAGTTATCTAAAAAAAAGCAACATCTGAGGTTTAATAGAAGCAAACGGACACTTCCTCCATTAGTTTCACTGGCAATTAAAACCCACTGAAACTAATGCAGAATGGCTCCTCAAGCAGATGTTTTCACCTGCTGTCTGCTGTGTGCAACTTTTATCTATATAGAATATATAGATAGGAGCCCGTTGCACGTGTGTACTGAAATAATTAAATTCCCTCCATTTTTATTGCTTATTTTTAAGACATTTTCTACCATTTTAGGAAAAAACTGTAGTCCCATGTACCCACTCACTAACTTTAAGTCCAGATATCACTTTGTCACCAGATTTCAGCATTTTATAACGGCACAAGTGGGTTAATAAATGTTTTATAACTCACTATAAGCAGTCCCTCCAGGATTGCACTGCAGCTTTTCCAAACTGTTGGAATGTTTTTAGGCCTTTTCTTGCTGGAGTATGTGAGAATTGCAGAAATAGTTGCCTTTTTTTTGTATAATTCATTAAAAATCGAAGGCAGCGTGTTCCAGTGAGAACAACATTGCTCGTAGTTGGGTGACATATGGTAGAGGGCTGCATTGGAATTGGGATCCCGCAGGACATAATGCAAATCTTGCGGGAGTGGGCGGTTTTAACTTTGCTTTGGGAGGGGGAAAAAACAAAAACTGCGGGTCCTGGGATTAATCTCGCACCCACCAGAAGGATGGAGACTGATCTCGACAGATGAAGCTGACAGGAGGAGTAAAACAACAGCGAAGCGAGGCAAGTGTGACATTTGGAGACATTTCTTAGCTGTTACTGGCTCAGTGCTTCACAGGGGGACTGCTATGACTGATTGGAGAAACTCAACGATTTGTCAAATTAGCATAACAGTTGCTATGATTGGACAAAATTGCAAGGTTGAATGCAAAATTCACAGGGATTGGTTGAATTTGTGTTCCTGGAGGGACTGTATAATGTAGTTATGAGAGCATATAAAGACATTTTTTAAGTGTTTATCACATATTTGTTATTATAACTACTGCTGGCGTATCAACTGATAATACATGCAAAAATAAAACATTAATAAACCTTTAAAATGTCCTTCAAACTGACATTTATTCAATGTTTATATACTACTCATAAATGCTAAATGTAAGTGGTAGAACAGTAAAGCGTCACTGTATTTTATATTTTATTATTTAGTACTGGCCACTGAGATTTAAGGGTCTTGCTTAAGGGCAAGAGTTAAAGTTAAAGTTACAGTATTTTAATACTGCTTTGTGTGAGTTTCATGTCAAACATGCTTATTAGATACAGAACTAAATTATATTGTAGTTCTTTTCAAATTGCCAGATAATTGGCAAATCTAAATGCAACTTTAAAAGTCACATTTCTTTCCAACAAAGCTGCGTTAGTGTTGGGAAACGGTTCCACATTTTACTCGTTAGTTTCACAGCAATAAGGTCCAAACGCTGTCTTTGGAGGAAACAAAACCAGCCTAATTAAAAGGACATAAACAGAAGCAGATACAAAGATTCACATTGTGATGTACAGTAGGAAGAGTTAAACTGCTGTGAAATGGTTCTCCGTATGAACAGGAGCCTTCGTGTCCTTTATTCCTCACATTTTATTACAGTAAAGTCCACTTGCAATAAATCCTCTTGGATCCAGCTTCCATTCAGCTAATGTAAAAAGAGAACTACTGGATACAGTTGTTTGATAAATATTTGAAGAGTCAATGGTTAAAAAAAAGGATAATAAGTATCTGTAATAAAGTCTGTTTTAAGTTTGAAATGAGAAGGTTTATGTTTCTTGGCGAGCCACAGCAGACACAACGTCTATAAAATATCATATATAGAGTGTCGTGGGAGGGAAACTCATCATTATCTGTATCTGTCTCTGAGTGCAGTACAGAGGTGGCGGCAGCGGTGGCGGCGGCGACGGCTACGGGCCGGTGTTGTGGGAAAGGTTGATGCTCCCGGCAGGACGGACAGGGAAGGCAAACGGGTCAACAACGCCATTCAGAGGAACTTTGGGGATCTGTGAAAGAAAAGAGAAACACTGTGATTATCTGATTCTTAAAATTGAAGCTGACGCTACAGCCATCAGTCAGTTAGCTTAGCATAAAGAGTGGAAACTATAGCCTTATATACACAATATTCCTTTGAGCTTGGTGCTCGGATGTTTCAGACCAAAATGCTCCATGGGAGTTGTACTTGATGTTTCTCCTTAAATGTGCACCTTTAACTTTCACATCAAAGAACCAGATATTTTCTAATGAAGGGATGATTAAACCTTGAGAAACCATTCAAGTCTTCAAAGTACTCCAGCTGTCAGTCCCTTAAAGGGTTAGTTTGGATCTTTTAAAGTGGGGATGTATGAAGGTGGTGACGGGGAACTAAAGCCGTTTTATACCCATCTACGCTCCCTTCAAAGCTACCAGACTCCATTGACAAAAGCAGTAATTTTACCTTGCAGAACATGGAAGTTGCTGCTCCACCGCTGCCTCGTTCTCGTTTGTATTATTGTGTGACTTTACACATTAGTCTGGATCCAAACTATTGTCAGTTGCTGCACATTGAGGCAGTGGTAAACCAGCAACTCCTGTGTTGTGTGAGGTAAAATTACTGTTTTTGCCAAAGGAGTTTGGTGGCTCCAGTTTCATGTTAGAAAAGGTAAGGTAAAGTGAGGAATATACTCTAATAATAATAATAATAATAATTAGGTGGCTAAAACACATTCTTTTGCACCTTCCACACACAGCAGTACATCACGTCTACGCCGGTACCCCAGCCTGCTTCTTAAAATAATAAAGATGATTACATATGAACAAGCACCTCATACAACCCCACTTCAAAACATACGAACTAATCCTTTAAAACTCCTTTAAAATGAACGGGACGTCTGAAATAACTCCTCTCACTTCTCAGCTGTTTGCCGGACAGCTGCGACGGAGGACAGGCTCATCAAAACAGGGCGAGAACTGCCTCAGGCCAATTTAATGTGTTTTCCAGGACAAATTATAGCCATCTGGACACATCCTCAAGTACCAATCTGTAATCTTCCTTTAAACATTGTTTTTCTTCCCAAATGACCTCAAAATTGCTTAAAATGTATCTCTAATAGCAGTTTATTTTACCTGAGCGTCACCGTTCCAACAGAAGAACGACGACCGTAATGATCCACTTTCCGGAGGATAATCTGTTGGAGCTGCTCCCAGCCCATCTCCGCCCAGATGAACCAAACTGATGTTGCCCACATCTGCACAGGACGACTGCATCATCCCCTGGTTGCTGACTGCCGTGCCCGGATGGGACAGGGCGAAGGGAGCGTTTCTGGTCGTCCCCGCGATGTGTGTGGGCCCTCTGGAGCACGTGGGTCCCAGGGGAGGCCCGTTCTGTCGGGCAGGAGCTGTAGCAACGTTCGGTATGTGACCTTCTCTGTTTTCATACATGCAGGTGCCAGATAATTGCTGCATTTGCAGGCGGGATGACGGAGCTGTTGAGTTCCCGCTGCCTGGTGTGTGTGAGGAATGTGTCAGTGTGTGATGGTGAAAACTTTGCGGCAGCTGCTGCTGTTGCCACGCTGAGGGGCTCTGAAGCTGTGGCTGGTTCGTCTGCCAGGAACCAGTACAGTTTAGTGAATATTGTACATTTTGGTCAGTCACCTCCGCGCTAGATTGATGCCTGCTGGGGATATTGTTGGTGTTGTGCACAGATGGAAGCCATTGTGTCGCTTCAGGCTGTGAATGAACAGCGTTGCAGGATTGTGTTGAAATCATCTGGTTGCCACAGTGGTGACTGCTGCTGCCTGGAGGCCACAGTCGAGAGGTGTGTCCCTGGTGAGTGTTACGACACTGTGTGGGCGTCAGCACGTGTGAAGCACCTTTTAGTCCAGTCAAACAACCGACATCGTTAAGAACACATCCTGACAGAGTCTGATCTGCAAGTCCTGACGTCGTGTCCGTCATCGGCTGCTCATTATGTGAAAACACAGACCCAGGATGCTGTCCTTGAGTGGATGAACTGTTCCCTGAACCCTGCACAAACCCGGCCTCACTCTTCAGAGCCTCCTCCACATATGAGAACACGTCATTGGCCAGGATGCGATTTAGCTCCACTGATGCGTCTTCCCTCTCGTTGTTCATCCTAACGAGGGTGTTCTCCCAGTCCCTCAGCTCTGTCTCCTCAACTTCAAGACCCTCTATCCCTCCATCGCCGATATCTCCCAAAATCTGCTTCAAAGAGTCAATCATGGCTTCCGATGTGAAGTTCCCCATCATGGGCCTCTTCTGTGAAGCCTGGATCTGGCCAGGCACGCTGAGCAGAGCGTGGCTGTCCAGGAAGGCTTGTTCCAAGGATGACTGGGCTGGCTCCAAATCAAGGTCCTCTATCTGGTCGAAGATTGGGAGTGGGGAACTGGGTTCCTGGGTGTAAACAGAGTGGTCCTGCCGGCAAAGGGATCCCAGGAGGGAGGCGGGGTCCAGAGGTTTCGCTGACGTGGACTCTGTGGTGTCCAGTGCACAGGAGCCAGGAGGACCAGGCATGGAGAAGGCGTCCATCCACGTTTCGTACAGGACGCCTTCCCCGGTGGCGAGGTTGAAGGGGAGCTGCTTTCTTCTCTGGTGCAGGTGTTCCTCTCCTTCTTCATTCCTACAGTGAGCAACAAGCAAAGGTTAATACTAAAAACAAAATGTAATATTGTGCTTTCAGATTCTTAAATTAGAGGTTTCATTTTAGTAGAGGGCAAAATGAGATCAAAGGGGGGTCCAGCTACTGCATTTTTTATGAAATTCTTCCTCCTGCTTTCCATAATAAAGAGTTTCCTTGACAGAAAACTAACAAATTACCATGAATAAATTGCAATTGTTCAAATCTGTTTAAAAACAACACTCAGGTGACCATATGAACATTAAAACTGCTCATAATGGACATGAAAAGACCCCTTAATGTACATATATTTACACATTATTATTTATATTCTTCTATTTTCTTTATTTATTGTT